CAAAGGTGAAGAAAGGAAATGGACGACGTACATTAAGATAGCCTTTGTGATTCAGAAAAGTTCGATTTCAAATTGCTTTTTCTCTATAATTTAATGTTTATTTTTCAAATTACAAACTTGAAACAGACATATACTCCATGTTGATCGAAAAACTCATCAAATATTTGGTACTTTGCTAATTCTTATTGTCGTTTACGTAAGTGAAGCTGTTAATAATCAATAGATTCAACTTTTTTCTATAAAAAACGTTTTTTAACCATCACTACTTATGCATCTCATCTTCAAATTATGCCGGAAAATTGCACGCTCATACTTTCATGGGGCATTCATCATTTTTCAGGAACAAAATTCGGAAAATCTATTCTTTCATGAGAAAAAAAAATTTTCTCATCTCCATATGGCTATACCATTTTAAAATACCCCAAAAAAGTTGAGTAATATCATTATCCATCGAAGAAAAAAAAAATTATTCGATTTTCGAATGGCCCCTGCATAGCAGAAGGATTTAAATAACAAAAAGCTTAAAAAATGACTCATTATTCTTCCTCGTGCTACTATCGTATTTTTATTCCAAAAGTATATGAAAAAACGAAAAAAACTTTTTTTATTCATCAAAATCGGCCAATTTGTTCGCAAGATATGATTTTTCAAAAATTTGAGCTTTTGTTGTTTGTCCTGACCAAACAATTGATGTTAAAGGAGCGAAAATTTAGAGAAAGTATGTACTTATGTAGTACTTAACTGGGAGCATGCTAATTCAAGATTCTGAGAACCAAACAATTCCAGGGTGGCTGAATTGACATGGAATGTCCCATATATATTGTAACGTGGTATTTTTGATATTTCGACCATTCGGCGGTTCCTTGGAAAGTTTCAGATGAGAGGTCACTTCATTGGCGAGGCGATAATCATTTTTATTATTTTTGGACCCCTTTTCTAATTATTTTTATTTCGTCGAATCGTTGTCTCACTGCTCATCGGATTACATTGAGGGATGGAGCCTGAATCGACGTGAGATTTTAGAGTTGTCTCCGGATCTTGGACGTTTTGTAACGCCAAATATTGCGATTCAATGTTTTAAATGGTGCTGCATAGAAGCTCCACCTGGAAGTCCGAGCGGCAGTGCCAGATTTGGAGTCAAGTAATTGGAAACTGAGACAACGAACTATACATCGAAAAGGATCAACCTGGATGGACTTTAGACGTCCTGAGAAATATCCGTTGTCAGAATATTCATTGATTCAATATTTCTGTGGACATACATGTTTGTATTGGAAACTGTCTTAACATCGCACATTGATATTGCGGACGGATTTTTACTTTTGAATTTTCGTTTGCTCTGGTTTGAGAACGACTTCACTGTCCAATCACCGCAGAGCTGTCGTCATAGCGGACCAATCACGAGATAAAGTGATTGGGTGTAACGTTGGCGCGTGGGTCAGTTATACCAACAACGACACTTCTCGTTTGGACGTCCAGGGGACCACTGTGTGAAATTATTGGTCTCATATTAAGAGATTTTTGTAACATTACTCTGTGGAGAATTTGGTTATCGGGACCTCAAGAGTTATTTGACTTACTTCTGGCGGACTGGATAAGGCTCGAGGCTTTTTCTATCATTGGCAGATTTTTGGAATCGGTGAGGAGTGGATATATTTCGGAATTTGTGTTAATGTCTTATAAGGAGCAAGAATTAAATGTTTTTCGTTTGTTGGACGCTTCGTTCCGTGGCGATTAACGCCACTAGTTACCTTCAAATTTTCTGTTTGGATTCTTGCCCCTTGTTCAGCAGAATTAATTTTGGGTCCGATTTTGTTTGAGTAAGTTACTCGGTTAATTTTTGAGGCTTTAGATTTTTCTAGTTAAATTCAGTGATTCTAATCGTGTTGGTTGTTGACTCTCGTTTCACCAAAATCGCCGTGAATTCATTATCGATTTTTCTGTTGTAACGGTGATTGGAATCTCGAGGTCAGTGATATTTCCACTTGAGGTTTCAATTTTGTTTTCTTTTCGTGGTCTCCGAAGCCAAACAACATCGCGTATATTAGGTATTTGATTAAATCGGAGACCGTTAATATCTCGAATTTGAAGGCATTGTTAGAGAAATTGTAGCGTCATTTGTCCACGCTCGAGTTTTCGTCTTGTTGCCGGGTGATCCGTTCAGTTGGTTGCCGGTAATTTTGTTGGCGTTTTAAGGATATTTTACAGGGTTGTTCACCCAGGAAAAGTCCACACTAGATTTAACCGTCTCTATCGCTCGTTTGTTGGGTGCCAGCAGAACCTTCATGGGAGGTTCGACGAAAACCGGCCTCCGAAGCACTCTCATCTACTCAGAGGACTTTTTGGCTGGACAATGGATTGCCTAGCTAATATCAGCGTGATACGACAGAGTGAGCGAAGTCCACCAGGAGTATTACTGTCACATCCTCACGAGCCTTTGCAAGCCGTGTATTATGCCTTACAGCATAATCCCCATAATGAATTAAATTGATGCCTCTTCTGGAGAGTCTTTTGACTCTTCCAGTGTTAATTCTCCTCCCGAGTATTTCAACTCGGCAGAGTCAAGTGCGAATCAGCCGGGACTCCTCAGAGCCTGGGACGTGGAGAGCCTGATCTGACCAGGGTGGAACTATGTTACCCACGCTATGACCACCCACATTCTCAACCACCAGTTACCGCTTCGGTCATTGCGCGTCACTGCCTCCGGATAGTACTAAATTGTCGGCGTATGGTCGGGTCGTTACTTCGCGCGCTGGAAGAACTCCTTTTCACTAGCGGGGGATGCAAAAGCATCCCCCTACGCTCGCCGCCAATGGTTATTCACTGAGGCGACGTGGAGTCCGGAACTCCTTATCATGGCTTCTTCAACCATTCCTCCATCCAGCACACCGAGAGATTTTTGCAACCTCTCGCTTCAAGCGCTCGCGTGCGACTCTCTCGGAATCTCACTATGGCCTTGCCTCCCAGTCTGCATATCTCGACGATGACAGGTCATTCCGTTACCCTATCCCCACCAATCAACCCGACGGGATCACGAAGGTACCAGTCCTTTCACCTGGCTACGTTGGTGCCTAGTCTACTCCGACACAGCCTTTAGAATCGCCCACTTGGCACCCCTGTACGTCGGGCCACTTTCCCCTAAACACAGCTGAGCGAGTTCTAAAATAGCGAGAGTAACAGCGCCCTCCCGACCTGCAGGGGTCGCCGTTTCACCCATAACCGCTGTGCCTTCGGTCTTTCATTGGTCTATGGTTCTTCTCATCTAGTCGCGGCTTTCTTCAGCCGCCTATAGAGTCTTAATTCGTTCATTTACTTTATCTGATTTATTTTGTATTTATTAATCAAGTATCGAGCGCTAATTTTATTCAGAATAAGACGGGATTATAGATCATTTATTTTTCTTGTATAATTATCTTTATTAAATAATTTTGTTACCCTGCAGATTCGATTTTATTTTGATTGTTGGAACCCAGTCATTTCACTATATCCGCCTCCGTGAATAATATACTGAGCTGTCGGCAGCTGTTCCCTCGTTGGTCTATTTTGTGGATGTTTGATTTCCATTTTTGTGCGTTTTGAGAGAAAACGTACTGGCGCTCAACTTTTGGTTAGAAAATTTGGTCGCCGAGGGCTGCGTATTTTCGTACCGTCTCGCAGAGGTGCGAAATATGTCACAATATATATATGTTCAAAGGCCAGTTTGATGACAGTAACGGATTTCTTAAGCATACGATAAATGGAGCTATGGTCACTTTGATGACAGTCATCGAAATGACCACTAGTGGGCGTTCGTCGTGTGGTATAGTGTTCGTCCTGCAACTTTGACCTCGACCTCGCGAACCCTCCAGTATGCCGATAACCTCAGTCCGAATATCTGACGCGAATATTCCCGAAAGTGGAGTTCTTATGTTTTGTAAAAAAACTTGCGGTCAGAAGGGACCGCGGCGGATCTAAGTGCATGAGGAGGTAGAGCAAGGTATGAGCGTCATTTACCATCTGAACATAGCGACCGTGCGTAACCCGACCAGGCAGCATATTACAGCATTGCGCCAGTTGCAAATTGTGAATACACACCCACAATTAACAACTTTTTGGTAGCCTTGAACAGCCACCTCCACGTGGTGCTCCCGGGTCATGCCAAGAGCTGTTCGGTTTTGAGGTTATAATTCATACATTTGAATTATACTTCAAAACATTGCAGTGTCATCGTAATCACCCTTAAACATATATATATGTTGTTACTGTTTTTTTTCCTTTCGTCGGAATATATATATATATATATATATATATATATATATATATATATATTGCGACGAAAGGAAAAAAAACGCTAAAACGATTCAAGTCGATTTCGACTATTAATCAGTTTTCAATGAGTATCTCAGAATTGAAGAGAGATAGCGAACTTCTCGTTAAAAGCTTGTTTGGAGGGAAAACTGAATTTAGGGTGGATTGGGAAAGGGGTAGTGGAAATGCCGGTGAAAAATGAACGCACTGAGTCTATAAAAAATATACTGATTTATTCGGTGGAATCGAACCACCTTAGCGTCACTTGTTACACTCTGTTAATTGTCACTGAAATCAATTTAAACTGTTCTGAATTTAACACTGGAGATTTTCTGAATAATGTACTGAATAATAGGAGACTGTACTGAGAATTTAAATAGGAGATGTACTGAGAAAACAAAATGTCTCGAACGGGTGATGTACTGACGCTGTTCGGACAATCGAAAGTAGCTTTAGAAAAACGATATACTGCTCGCTCAACTCATTTGCTACGACTCTCTACGACTGACTGACTCTGAGATTCGGTGATTGACTAGGCCTGACCGTTGACCCGAGGTTTCCCGAAGATTTTCTGTCTGGTTGAACAGATAATGGCACGTATGAAAATTCATTCACTAAGTCCCTTAATTTAATAAGAATTTCGAAATTTCAGCGCGGTCTCCCATTAGGTAGGTCTCTTTTCCCGCAAATATACTAAAGTTCGTTAATTGCAGATATTCCACCATCCAATGCACCATCGTCTCCGAGCAATCTAAGCTCAGTGACGCTAATAGGATCAACAGGTTCAGAATCTGGTTCGGGATCAGATCCCAGTCCTCAAGACGGTAATGTAACATACTCAGGAACTCTATCGGAAGAGCGAAGTACTTCAACAATCTCGGAAATGACATCCAAATATGGTGAGTCGAAGCTTCACCTCAATTCGCCAACAGTTTTGATTGATTATTCTCCTCTGACAGACATACATTTTACCTATGAGGATTATCCACATCCATCACCAATGTCCCCGAGGGTGACTGTTCAATCTAAATCAATGAGGCCACCACACAATCAGAGACGAAACTCGGAGAAAGACTATGTATGGACTGACGAGGAGTCCACTTCATCAAACGATTTTCAGTTCAATTTTCAGCAGATTGAAAAGTACTCACAGCAGCATCGTGCTTCAGTGGTTTCAGCTCCAACGACTTCCATGCGAAGTAGTTCTATCACAACGGGGGTAGGAATTATACTGTTGATTCTTACTTATTTTTTGGAGACTCTAAATTTATTTTCGAAATGGTTAAATGTATGTGCGCTTAATCTGAAATTCTTCAGTACATTCACAAGTTCCACTTCAAAAAAATCGATTGGTGTCTTAGGTTGTGTAAATCATTTCAATTTAGGTGGGAAAAACTATCAGTTGTGATGCCCTAAGGCCGTCAAAATTATGGGATATTTCCGAAATATTTTGTTACATAGCAACTACGGGGATTTCACTGCAAAACTGATCCCGATCGTTGATATGCAGTAAAACTTGAGGGAAATATCCGATGAACTTTGAAAGTCGAGGGGTAATCGGAGGACAATTCTTCAATTCTGATTTTGGCCGATCAGGCCGCGGTGCTCGGGATTACGGGATACACTTCACTCAGGGGGTCCAACTGCTTTAGAATTTATGAAGACTGGAAAAGTACAAAAAACCTTATGCAGAGGGCGCAGATACGGGCAAGGGTGGGGGGTTCAGGAATGATGGAAATGAAATGCATCGAATTTCAAATATTCCAATAGGTGTCGCTGTAGGCATTTTCGTTTTGAAATGGCGTACGATTTGAATTTGTCTGTTATTGAATCAATCAAACTGAATGAATAATAATTGTTTACAACCTTGAAATAAGCATTGCATAAAATTGATATTTAAACTGAAAGAATTGTGAATTGTGTTATTTGAAGAAGAAAGAGATGTGAATTGAAAGAAATTGTGAATTGTGTTATTTGAAGAAGAAAGAAATGTAAATAATGTTATCGACTCAACGCTGTGTGGTACCAGGGTGTGATACCCGTTCTGGCAAGAATATGGTGAAATTTAAATTCTCCAAGTATCCACCAATTGGAGAGAAATGGCGGGACGCAATAAAATCTCCTCTGTTAACCCATATCAAAGCAGACAACCTGTGTAAATATATTGTCTGTTACAAACACTTCTCCACTGATGATTACACCACGACTGGATTCCGACGGCGATTGGAACCCAATGTTGTACCGTCCTTGGAATTGGGGGAGAATCTCCCGATTGTAAATCAAGAAGCGAAGACTCATCAATCATTCCAAACAATCCTCCTTACGAAAATCACTCCGAAGCAAATCTTTTTGAATCAGCACAGTGTGAAGATCAAATGGACGATCATGGTGAAGATCAAATGGACGGTCAAATGGATGGTCTGGCTACTCTGTCAAGGACCATTTTTTCAGGGGGCACTAGCTCAGTCAAGCTGACATCAAAGGCACGAGAAAGGAACATAGAACTCATGAAGAAACGGAAGAATAGGATGAACACTTCACGATCGACAATAACGAAAGAGGCGATTCAAACGATGGCATCTCAAATGACCCCAAAGGAAATCACTCGTTTAAGACATTTTGAAAAAGACCACAAGAGGTTGGACCAAGCATTGAGGCGGTGTCAGAAAGAATTGGAGGTTATGAAGAAAAGAAATGAGCGTTTACATTTCAATGAAAACTGGGATGGATTGAATATGGTTCAAAAGGTATTCATGGAGATGCAGTTGATGAATGTTGGCAGGAAACCCAAGGTACGTCCAAGATCAATTTAAAATTCTCTATGGGAAATTCAATTGGATTTTCATTGTATTACCATTAAAAATCTCATTTGTTTCTTTCTTAATTTTATAAAACATTGCGCAGTAGTTATAATTGTTATTTTATTTTTATTAATAATTTCCACTATAAAACATCGCATTCACTGTTGAAAGATTTCGGTTGCAATTTTCCGTACTGATCTTTAAAATTTTATAGAGGATAATTCCCCTGAAGTTTCGAAGAATCTCATCATTGGAAATTGGCAAAACTGTAAGTGTGAATTCTACTTCAATTATTCCGCGAATATGTTATTGAATTTCAAATCAATCTAAGAACCAGTGTAATTTGTATTGTGAGAAAAAATGGGAATTTTAGTTTCTAACTTCTATTGTCGCATTGAATACTGGATTCAAAAATATTTGATGCTGAGGGGTATAATCACGGAAGAAAAAATTCATAGAAAAACCTAGCGAATCGGGCAAATTTTACGCGCATTTTAAATATAATATATAGAATAGAAAAGTTTTCATAAGAAAAATCATTGGAATTCCCTCTAATATATATAGGATAGGGCATTTCTAGGGGATTGACGCATCAGCGCACAGCCCAATTGAAATTCCGAGGAAAGTCACAGAGTTTCTAGAAAATTCCAGGAAATTCAAGGAGTTTCCAAGAATTTCAAGAGAATTCGAGAATCAAAACCCAATTTTTTTAATTCATCAATTAGTTATAGGAATAAACGAATGAACAAATTCAATAGGAAAACCTAGAGGTTCCTCTAAGAAATTCTATTGAACTCCTATTGAAATTCTATTCAATTTCTACTGGAATCCAATGAGTATTCTATTGGAATTCTATCAGGATTCTACTAGAAAATTATATTTATTTTTTGCGTGATTTCTATAGGAGATATTCAATAGAAACGTCGATAGATTTTGATTCTTCTATGAAATTCTTGGTTATGAATTTTATAAGTTTTGTTTTATTGAGTTTTATTATGAGAAAAAAATGAAAATACAGCGGAGAAAACTTGGGAAATTTACGCCTAAAAATTTCCTAGCAGAATGAAAATCTATTGACTCTTCTATTAAATATCTACGGAATTCTAATAGCATTCTCGTAGAATTCCAATAGAAATTCAATAGCATTTCTTGGAGAATGCGCTAGGTTTTTCCATTACATTTGATCATACTTGTACTTGAGAATGAGTGATAAAATAAATTTTATGAAATTTGTAAAGCTAATGATTTTTATTCTTATTCCTAACCTGTTCAAACCACCAGAGAATGAATTAACAAACCATTGCCAAATGGAAAATCAGATGCAGAATAAAAGGGTTGCCCTGGCAACGCCGGTCACACTTGCCAGTCTTCCTATACAACTTTTTCTACTGAGATATTTTCTACAGAAATTCCTCACCATGGGTTTTTTCAACTCTATTTTTCTCCTGTTTTCTTTGAAAAAATCAAACAAAAAAATTGAGAAAATTTGAGCTGAGTAATTTCCACAGAGAATATAGCATAAGTTGAAGAGAAAAATCTAATTCTATTGATCCTTTCTACAGGGTGTCCCATCGTATGTGACAAAAGTAAATTGCGAATAACTTGAATACGGTTAAGTGTAAATAATTGTTGTTTTTTTATTGTACACAGAACATTCGGCAAATTATAATAGAATCCCTTCCAAGTGTCCGCCATCAATTATACTACAGAACTCTATCCTACGCTCGAAGCTGGTATAGATGCGCTGTATTATGTTTTCATTAATAGCTCGGACAGCATCCCTAATTGCGTCTTGCAACTCTTCCACAGTCGTCGGATGCTTTCCATAGCACTTGTCCTTGAGAAAACCCCACAGGCAAAAATCACAGGGATTTAAGTCAGGACGGTAAGGCGGCCATTCCATGCCCCCATTGGCATCCTTAGAGTAACCTAAACCTAACACACGAGTGCCGTAAGCGGAAAAAAGTGTTTCAAATACTCCAGTAGTCCTGTGTGGGGCGGCACCATCTTGCATGAAGTAGAAATTCTTGACTAATTGATTTTTTCGTGGCCAAGGAAAGAAGTTCTTTTTCAAGAACTCGCAGTAAACATCAGCATTAATTGTCGGACTCTCGAGGAATTCAAGGAAAACACCCTTTATGGTAATATGGTTGAGGACTTGGTTTCAACGACCNTTTTTCGGGTGTGAGGACTTGGTTTCAACGACGTGAGGTGACTCAGTCCCCCAAAAGCGAAAATTTTGTTTATTTACCAAGCCACCTAAGTAGAAATGTGCTTCGTCAAAGAAGATGATATTCTGTGCCTTCATCCCCTTGGATTCAAAAAGATTGTAAAGTTTTTGGCAAAATTCCACACGACGAACCATCGCTTCAGTTAAAAATTGATTTACAGAAATTTTGTAGCGATGGAAGTTTAAAAACACTTTTAAGATACGGTGAAGTAAAGTTCTGGAGACTTTCAAGGTTTGGGAAGCCTTCCGAAGAGTTTCATTTGGATATTTTTTGAAATGTTCTTCAGTTGTGGGGATAACGTCATCTGTGGTTACAGTAGGTGAAGGGCCAGGATTCTCATGCCTCCTATCGTCTAGTGTACCGTATTGATCAAATTTCTCAATTAACCTGAAAATACCCATGAATTGGTCGAAAAATACGTAAATCTTCAAAAAAAAAAGAAAAAAATATTTTGATTATCTAGTTCATTCACTCTATTTACCGTCTGAGACTCGAATCAGATACTCCAATGTGTGTGCCATACTTAGAATGAAATGTTCTTATTGCTGCAGTAGTTGAATCTCCTCTTCGGTAATATGATTTGATGAGGAATGATTTTTGTTCAATGGTTAGGTTTTCCATTTTAGTGATCTAATTCGTGAGCGACTGAAGTATGGATGAAATTTACGGAGAGTCTCCACTTCAACCATATATTAGACTTTAGACTGCGCTGTCACCTTGTGGTATACAACGCAATTTACTTTTGTCACATACTATGGGACACCCTGTACATGTAGAATATTTCTCATTGAATATTTCGATTGAACGAAAAAAATCAACTGTGAATTTCGGAATTATTCAATAGAATCAGCCAAAAACTATTAGAAAATGCAATAGAAATCCAATAGAATTTTTTAGTGAATTTGTTAGGTTTTTTTTATGAAATTCTTGCATACGTCACTTTCCGAAACTTCACGCATTCACTAGTTGATATAACATTGTAAAATGTCAAAGTGTGTAGTTTCTGGTTTCATTAATGAAAATAAAAAACCGAGCGAATGCATTAATAAAATAAAAACCGAGCGAATTCGCTAGAAAATGCTATTGGATTTCTACTGAACTTCCTATTCAGTTTTGGCTGATTCTATTGACAAATTCCTCACCTTATCTGCGTTTTTTCAGTGGACAATAGTTTATAGAAAACAAGCAGGGTTGCGAGCTTGTTTGACTGAAGCCATGTGACCGTTACTTTATGTATTTTTTCTCTCCCTACCAATTGGAATGGTAATAAGCTTACGAATGGAAGCATTTGTCTGAATGGTGAGTTATTTCTTATTTATAAGATTAATCTTCTGATTCTAACGTTTCTCTTTCGTAGCGTTAAATTTTCCCATAGATACTCATTTGCTTAAAATCATTCATATACCACTTTAAAATTAGATTGAACTATTGTTTGTCATCTGTTTGAAGTCGAGGATAAGCCTCCAGAGGCTAAAATCGAACGGGTGTTTATATTTTGATTGATCTTGATAGGGGGCAACAGGACGAGTATTTTGAAAAAAAAATTTCAAGTCAGACTAGTAGTTTGGGAGATATAGAGCAAAACAGTTATTTACAAAAAGTTGAATATCTTCTAAACCACTTGTCCGATTTCGCCTACTCTCGAATTTATCCTGTAATATCATAAGAGCTACAATCTCACCAAATTTCAACATCCTATCTTAATTTCTTCGGGAGTTATCGTGGACAGAACGATTTCTTCATGGAAACGAAAAATGCCCATTATTAGCAAGCTTTCCCTAGTAACATAGCAATATTGTGATTTGATTTCAACTGATATCGAGGCAGTCTTCGCCAATATTAAAATCGATTGCATCCTGGGATTAGACTTTATTTCCAAAAGTGGACTATTGTCGGAATTTCAATCGATCATCAATCGCAAATTCAATGAACATTCTTCTGAGAAAATCGTTTCAGTTTTCCAAACTTCTTTTGATGGACAGTCGGTTTCTTCCAATACTCTTCCTGAATTTCTATCCGAACTCTACCAGTCTTCTTCAAACCTTCTAGACGAATGTCAGAAGAAAGTTTTTCAACAGTTTTTAATCGAATTCCATGATCAATTCGTAAAAAGTAACAAAGATCTGGGAAAATATATCGGTTAGCAACATCACATCATAATTGAAAATTCTTCTCCCATCAAACAGCTCCCTCATAGGATTCCTTTCCATCATAGGGACATTGTTTTCGATCTTCTAGAAGACATGAAAAAGGACGACATTATTGAGCCAAGCTCTAGTCCTTGGTCTTCTCCCGTTGTTCTAGTAAAAAAGAAAGATGACACTCTTAGATTTTGTGTTGATTACCGTCTTCTCAATAGAGTTACTAAGAAAGACTCTATGCCCATCCCTTCAATACCTGAACTTCTTGATGCAACAGAGGCTTTCTGTTGGTTCTCAAGCATTGATCTAAAAAGTGGTTATTGGCAAATCGAGATTGCCCCTGAAGATAAGGAAAAAACGGCATTTTGTATCGGTAATGAGCTCTGGCAATTCAAAGTTCTTCCTTTTGGGTTATGTAATGCCCCTGCTACTTTTGTACGTGTGATGAATTTCATCTTGAAAGACCTTATCTGGAAAATCTGTTTAGTTTATCCTGATGACGTTCTCGTCTTTGGTAGGTCTTTCAAAGAGCACCTCCAGAATCTTCACATTGTTTTTGATAGATTGTCTTCTGCTAATCTTAAGGTGAACTATAAAAAATGTCTCTTCTTTCAGAAAGAAATTCTCTTCTTAGGTCATGTGGTTTCTGAGAATGGAATAAATTGTTTTCCAGAGAAAATTTCAGCTATTATCGAATGGGCTATTCTNGAATGGAATAAATTGTTCTCCAGAGAAAATTTCAGCTCTTATCGAATGGCCTATTCTCTCTGATAAAACATCCTTACGTAGTTTTCTTGGTCTATGTTCTTATTATCGACAGTATGTCAAAAATTTTGCTTCTATCGCTAAACCTCTTCACAAGATTGCAGATATCAAAACTCCTTTCGTTTGGGCTAATGAATGTCATTGAGCTTTCAATGAGTTGAAAAGACTTCTAACTTCTCCTCCAATTCTATCTACCCGTTCCTCTCATGGTCAATTCATCCTCGATACTGACGCTTCACAATTCGCTATTGGCGCTACTCTCTCTCAGTTGCAAGATGATCAGGAAAATGTCATCGCTTATTACAGCTGTTTGATGAGATGCCTGGATCGGGGAATTAATTGTGCGGATGGATGAGTTGGAGTCGGATTACGGGGAGTGGGATGAGTAGAACCAAGAAATGAGCGGAACACGTGCACGTGGTCACAAATTCACTGTATTTGTCCAATATTTATAGTTATTTACACTGTCACAATAAATAGAGTCACTGAGCAGACCGTAAATAATGAGCCGACTAATTCCTTGAATTAATAATAATTGAGCTGATACAATGAGTTGGTCCGAGTCACTAGAGATGAGCAGTACAATAAAAGAAGTGTCTCTAACTAGATCCCGGAAACGAATGAGAGAGAGACACGGGCTTACAGGTGCCACGTGCCCTAATTCGATGGTCACATGACCTAATTTAATATAGATCATATGGTAATAAGGAGCTGTCCAGGACGTGGCGCCTCAGGTGTCCGAATTAACAACCCCCGGTCATCTGAGGTGAGCGCGTCAGGTGTGCGTGAGTGGGGAGAGAATGGATGAGCCTTGCGTGCATTAGTGTGAGGGACCTGTCAGCTGACAGGATTTCCAACATTCTCCCCGGCCGTCGACAACTGTAAAGTTGTTGACGCAACCATAATGAGTAGAGCCATGGTGAGCTGAAACAAAAAACAAAATTCAAAACGCTCTTTGGTGAGCTGTCGGAGCTTGTCACCCATGAGTGAGTCCGTGAGACCGTCCGGAAGGTGCGCTGGCTAGGCATGGCAGCATCCTAGACGTCGGGGGTCGTAAATCCCTTCTGCGTTGGCTGCTGTCATTCTCACGTTGAACCCCGTCGGTTGGTCAGGGTCGTAAAGCCGGTGAGCTGTCCTGGTTCTATTCCCCTGAAGGTGAGATGGGCAAGAGGACGAGCTTGGCGATTGGCCTTGTCAGCGTCGTCTGAGCAGTCCTGATGGTGACTACCCTGGTGAGTCCGTCCGATCCTGGGTGCAGAGCGGTCACTCGGGCGAGAGGCCACTTCGCTGGCGGGAATCTCTCGTCCGTGAGTAGAACCAGTGAGCCGATCCGTATCTGATGAGTCGGATGGTGCCACTTGGATATCGCTTGAAGACGTTGGAGATATCCCGTGGACCACCTCTTCCAGAATCCTTGAAGCTTCTGCTGAATGAGCTGCCATCTAGAGAGCCTTGAGACGTTGAGTTGCTCTAAAGATGGCTCTGGAAGAGTCGTGGGAGCCTGACCGATGAGAAAATGCCCTGGTGTCAAGGCTGAACAGTCATCAGGATCATCCGTGAGCGGTTCCAGTGCTCGTGAGTTGAGCACTGCCTCGATTTGAGCGAGCAAAGTGGTGAGTTCCCCAAACTGAGCAGATCCTCTCCGATCGTCCGGGTGAGATGGAACTTCATCGACTTCACCGCCGCTTCCCATTTCCCTCCAAAGTGCGGAGCACCTGGAGGATTGAAGGACCACTGAGTCCCATCATTGATGAGGAGCTGTGCGAGCTGTCTTGATTGAGCTGATCCTGACGAGAAGAGCTTCTTTAGTTCCTTGTCAGCGCCAAGAAAATTGGTCCCACAGTCACTGAACAAGGAATGAGCGATCCCACGCTGACTTGAAAAGCGTCTATACGCCGCGATGAACTCCTCGGCTGAGTAGTCTGACACGACCTCGAGATGGACCGCTGAGGTGGTCATGCAGACAAAGATAGCCAACCAGCCTTTGTACGACTTGTGTCC